CGGCCACGGCGCCTCACCGAGGCGCCGCCGCAGCAGCAGCAGCAGGTGTCGCGTGGAGTGAAGGTGGCTTCTGCTCGCGGCGCAGCGCCTGGTCCTACTCCTGCAGCCTCTCTGCCTCTCTGCTGAGCCCTACTCCCGTTGCCAGCGCCCAGCCGCCCTGTTCCCTGCCGGCATCGCCTGTCTCCCGGACCTGAAACCTTGGGCGCGCTTGTGCCGCGCGCGAGTGTTTGGGCTTAGAACGCACTACCCCGCAGTGCTCGTTTGGGGACACAGGACGGGAGTTGGGGAGTCCCTTTCTGTCCCAGAGGTGAAGCAAGAACGTTGGCTCGGATCCTACTGTTCCCTTTGCTTCCCTTCCTTGTCTGTCTATCGCTGAGGGCCCGACCCAGTGCGCCTGGGTTGCCGTTTTCACAGCAGAGCAGCAGTCGCTCTGCGCAGGAGGTGCCGTCTTATATACCCACACCCGGAGGTTCCCGCCCCTTACTAGTAATAATTTTTAACTACTTCGTCTCTCCTGCCAAGTGGAGCATCCCAGCCCCTCCCCCTAAAACCTGCAGCCACTTTGAAAACAGCTCTGTCAGCAGCCCTCCTCCTCCTCCTAGTCCCCTCTTTTCATTCGCTAACAGACTCTAGACTCATTTGTGTAAAATGTGACAGCTTTGCTATTAAACTCTGGCAAAAGTTGGATCCATTTGGTTTTCTCGAAGATAAATGTCCACGGAGATGCCAAGTTGTGGGGCCTTCCTCTCTTTGTGCTAAATTGCTTGATCACTTCTATTGCTAGCAGGGCACTAGCCCCTATTTAAGATGGATTGGCCAAGTGGGAGCCCAAACCTGCTCAGTGAATTCCAAAGTATGGCAGGTTTTTTTCCCCCGCCTAGGTTCTGCAGATAGATTATTTCCAAGCAGGTTGTTTGACTAAATTGTCACGGGAGCAAATTGAAGAGAATGTCTGAAGCATGGTTTTCCCAGCTGATTTCAATCTCAGTAGCTGCAACTCTAGACAAAAGCATCAATACAAAATAAATATTTTGAATTCTTGATAATTTCCTGGGTATAAAATTTATGCACTTCTTTGCCTTACTCCATCAGTGACCTATGGTTTGTTTATAACACAAGTAAAACTCATTTTAATACCCGCAAAGAGACTTTTCCATAGCCTGACTTGCTCTTTTATGCAGGAATCTACCCAAGGACTGGTGTATTCCTGGAATAGTGTTGGGGAAAAAATGTTATATTTTAAAAACCATAGAAAGGACTTTATGAGAGTTTGATCTATATTATGAACTCTGAAAATGCTCGCAAAGGAGCTTCAGTAGAGTTGATATTTTCCAATGTATTGCTTTAAATGAACCACGATGTGTTAACTGAACTTCTTTGTCTTAGTGTGTAGTACACTGTCCTTTAGTGCTTCTCTTTGGTTTTCATAAGCCACTAGTACACTCTAAGCATTCATTGGATTATTCTCTTTCAAAAAGGAAGTCAGTATTTTTACAGTAAGGAAAAGTCTTACCAAGTCAGAATTTTAGCACTTGGAAAAACCTTCGAGATTACTAAGTGCCAACCAGGTAGCACAGTAATTCAGCGTTGTGCAGAGGGCGTTGGATTCATATAGCCAACTATGTTTCAGATACACCCCAGAGGCTTTAAAAATATGCTGGGTGCATGCCCAGAATCTAATGGGATGGAGAAATTGAGGAAAAAAGGATTGTGGTATGACCAGGTCCTATTGGATGGATGTTTTTCTCTGTCTCTCTCCTCTTTCTCTTTCATGAAAGTAGAATTCTAGAATACATCCAATAATGTGTATTCCATCAGTTTATTTTTCCTTGCATCATCTTTAAAATTACTAATTTATTGGGCCAGTTCCATAGCACAGTGGTTAAGTGCTCTGTATTGGGAGCCAGATCCCACATGACCCACCATGATTCAAGTACTGCCCTGGTAGCTTGAAAATCACACGGGACATGAGTGCATGTGTGCTCAAAATCCTGAGTGGATGGAGGAAATTGATTGAGGCACCCTTGCCCCTCTGAAGGGTGTTTTTTCTCTCTCCCCCTTTCCTCCTTGTGTGTGTGTGTGTGTGTGTGTGTGTGTGTGTGTGTGTGCCTGGTGAGTGCAAAGTGCAAGTACCATCTACCCCCAACCAATAAAAAGATACAAATTTATTGCAGGGCCACAGAAAATTAATACATCTGGACATTGTAGATGTCCTGTGAACTCTCAGCACTAACTAAATACTGGGATTTTGAATGGGAAATAGAAAACCCATAAAGTCTCCAGACAATAATGGTAAGGCACAACTTGGAAACCACGTCAGTGTCACTTCATGTGACAGTGGTCAGAGAGCTGCCCTGTAGGAGTTCACAGTCTAGTGAAGAGAAAGAAATATAGCACACACACAAGTTGTGGAAGTAAAGAAGAGTGACTACTAGTGGACAGAAGGATGGGAAGAGGAGCAGGAAGTGGAGATTAACAGAAACAAAATTACAAATAGATCGGAGGAATGATTTCTAAAAATCATTTTATGAAAAAGAGACAATATAGTTAACATCAATCTACTATTATATATATCTCATAATAACTGAAAAAGTGGATTTTGAATGTTCCTAACACAAAGTAATGAAAATAGTTGAGATGGCAATACACTACTTACCCTCTCACTTATGTAATTATTTTATATTAATTTCAAAAAAGTCAAACCAGGACAAGATGGTGGCTTTGCAGTAAAATATGATGCTCTCTGAGGCAATCTCACATGGTTCAAGTCCAGAGACATCCGTGAGTACACAAGTCACCTGCTTTCCCATAATCCAGGTCTAGATGAGGATCACCATATTAGGACCCTGTTGGAAGTACTGTCTCTCCTCTTGTTCTCTCTCTCTCTCACTTTCTTTTTTTTTTGAGAACTTTTATTTGCTTGTGTGCTATCGGGCATGAGCACTCACCGAAGACACACAGAGAAACAGAGAGACAGAAAGCAAGAAATCACTCCCCCAAGGGAATGGCCATGCTGAAATCCCTTTTCCTCCATTATCCTCTTGTGACTCTCTCCCTTTTTATTATATTTAACTTATGAAAGAAAGAACTAAGTAAACTTCACATATTAAAAGTCATCTATATCTATATCTATCTATCTATCTATCTATCTATCTATCTATCTATCATCTATCTATCTATATCTATCTATCTATGACTCCAAAAGAGAATACATTAAACTGGATAGGGACGAACCCATTCTGGCCTTTGGATAAAAAAGACTAAACACATATATTTGATGATAGGTCATTAGTTCCATGTTTGTTGTGTTCAGGGGTAAAAGAACCTGGCCTCTCTCTTCCCATAAATATTCCCATCCTTCAAATGACAGGTCACCATCTTTAATCATGTTTAAAAGGGTAGTTT